AACACTTCACTCGCCCACCGCACACCTAGAACTCGGTGGCTCAGGAGGGGCCGTTCAGCACTAACCCAAACACTTTCATTTCCCTCAGCAGGCCCCACAGGTGCCACGACGCAGCTCTGAGACCACCAGCTGAGGCTGCGTCTCCCTTCACAGAGCCCCTGCCACGACACGAGCAACCCTGACGCTTCACAAGCGCATGAACAAAAACACCACCCGCGACTCACTTGTATTCGCACGGCTGTGACCATGAAAAGAAACGTAGTGCAGGTGGGCACGCTCACTTGAAATCAGCATTTTCATTCGGATAATCATTGCGTGAGCCTGTTCTCAGTTGTCACCAATTCTATCGCAAAGACAGCTTTTATTAATGTAAAATAAGTTTCAATCATTAATTTGACTTCTGCACAGGGTCAGAATGTAAACAAGAGAAAGGACAGCTCGGAGGAGGACAGCTGAAACCACCAAGAGAGCAGAGAAAGCAGGAAACACATCGAAAGGGAATCACTGCCAGTAGCAGCTCAATGCCGAACTCGACTGACCACAGCAGCCCCTTCACACGGCGCTGAGAAATGGTTTGATCTCTATTGCACTTGAAGGATGTTTTTTCCACTCTCTCATTAGTACTTCTCCACTTCTCCATTAGTTGGTGCCACACCAACACAACCTCTGAAGTTAAACTTTGCAAAGCATCATTCTGAATTTATCTGTGAAAACAACAGAGCTGCAGCCTTGCTTCTGAACCAGCGTGGCCGTACCAGAACGGCAAGCATCTTGTTAAGCAGCTAACAGCTCAACTTCACCTCCACCTTTAAATTCTCCTGTTTAGCATCTCTGCCAGCATGTCAGAAGACCTACCAGGGACAACAAGGTGTACCTACTGCTGCCATTCAATTGCCATAAGAGGGGCTACAAGTCTTCCAAGGAAAACAGTGGTGCGGACGAAGTCTTTGAAAACATCTCATTAGAAAAATTAGTGGCCATGATGGTAAGGTCCTGTGTCACCTAATGTACTTGTATAATTCCAGTCAAAGCTGAGTCTCATCTACTGGCATGACGTTGAACACAGCGGTTCCCACTTTTACTGGCAGCAAACTATTAATTGTTGCCTTGGAAAACAATCGGTGAGGGTCTCTTCACACAGGCCTACTCCTCAAACAGAGGCGAGCCGCAAGGCCAGCTCTGGCGCGTGAGTTACCAGCACTGGGACAGGTGGTGTCCAGGGAGCCACAGCCCCTGCTGAAGGGAACTCGGAGTTCAAAGAACGTCGCGTGGAGCTCCCTGTCTGGTTAACTGATGCCCAGACCTGCATTTATGGCTTTCTCCACTTCCAATTATTTTCCCATAAAGTGATACCAGCAAACTCCACCAGGAAGCTTTCCTTCCAGTATAGTTTAAAATGGTCACAAAAATTGAAAGAGCTATACCAGCAGCAGAATTCTTGGTTTTAATAACTGTACCTGAGGAGGCACTTCAATAACGGGTTCTTTGGTTTGGTTACACCCCCCACCCCTGTTTTTATACCCCTTATGAGTTGAGCTGCACTGCAGGAATTTATAGATTAGACTTATTTATAAAGAACATTTTATAAATGGTTCTCTTCCCTATCTCAACCTGCTAACATAGATTGTACCTAATGAAACAAACACAAGTCAAAGCACATCACTTAACCATGAACAAGGCCTACGGTTGCAGAAATTTTCTTCCCATACATTCATATATCAAAATGAAAACCAGTGGCAAGAGAAAAATATAGCTATGCTTATATGATAGGCATTAAAGACTAATTTGTAGCAGCTTCTTTGACACTCGAATGTCAAGAATATCAGTTTTCATTTAAAGACTTGGGGATGTGATATGGCAAGATATTAAGCCTTTGTAACAACCTACAAGGATGAGGGGAAAAAACCCCACAAGTGAAAGACTTCAACAAACCCAAGCAACTCAATGTGTAACTTCACTTATAAAGACAAAACGCCGTATATAAAACAAACCCAAATACCACAAGTACAGCAAAAGCCTTTCTTCAAATCTCACCGAATTTAACAGACCAGCATGACGTTGTCCAAAGGCGAAGGAAGTGAAATGAATGGGGTGCGGTCTCCGGGCTGGTAAATCCTGCTACAAAGATGAAGAGATGGTATGGTGAATGGATGGCACCATTACTGTTCCTTATATTGCTATACCCAAAATTTTGACTGAACTAACAATGGTGTAGAGCTGGGTGGATTTTTCACCTCCGGGCAAATCAAAGAAATATGAGTAAGTGAAAAGCAGTCGTGTGTCGTCATCAGCTTGACTAACTGAGCACTGTCTCTTCACATCAAATGTCAACAGCGATACTTGTACAGTTAATAGTGGAAACTAAACTGGCTATCCATGACGCAGTTTTGAAAATGTCATGATTTCTTGTAAAACTGCTCACAGAGCAAGAATACTTCACTTTAATGACCCAATAAATAGTTCTGAACAGCCTGGCAACATTATCTGATACTGAGTCAGACCAAACAGAACAGAGGGGAAACAAGAAGAAAAAAAAAAAGCAAAGCATCAGATTCACAGAGTACTGAAAATCCACAAGTCCTAGTTCATTAGTATCCCTGAAAGTCGGTCTCAAAATGCTTTTTGAAACTACATAAACTTAGCAATTCTCTTTAATTTCTCATAAAATAGTTCATATAATTCTTATATGGCAGATGAACATCACAGAAGTTCATCATTAAAAGGGATCAGTTTAAAAAGCAACCTCACGAGAGCTGTAACCTAGCTACAATTAAATGGCGTTGTTTTAAAAGCATTTATAAGTTACTCGTCACCACAAGACGTGAAAATCTTTGCTCCCCCTCCCCTCCCCCCATATACTGTAGACAAAATTGTTCCTTGTGAACCTTCAACGCTTTCTTTGCTCCTTGCAGGAGAAAACAGGTCCCAGGCAGAGCTTGGAGACAAAAGGCTGTAATTCCCTAACTTAAAAAAGCTCTTTATTCCTTTTGGTACTTGGGAGAAAATACAAAGGCGTAGCAACAAGAAAGTTCTCATCACTGGCAGCATCCTATCATCTACAGCTTTTATGGTGCTCGGTATATAAAAATAGTATGCTTCAAATTAGAGGACAACAGGAGTGGGTAAGAGAGGCATTAGGGTGCTGCTAGTCACATTAATCACATGTATTGATGGAATGCTGAAAGCTTTTCAGTGTGTCTGACAAAGCGGAACGGCTTCGGTAACGCCTCGCTCCAGTGTGTGTTCTGCCTCATTCTCCTTCACATCGTTCATTACGTCTCCTGGGAACACACAGCGGCCTCTTCTCCTGGCTGTCCTCGCAGCTCTCTGCTTGCCAGATGTTCAGGTGCCCTCTCCTCCTCCCATTAACACCCGACTGATCTCTCAGCAAAAACCTGCAGCGAATTTACAAATCCCTTTCTATACACCTGTAAAACAATCCCCCTCTGCTGTTTGACTGTGCCCGACGAGGGCTGTGCTTCACTGGAGTTGTGCCTTACGTGCCCTTGGAGAGCACAAGTGACAGCAAATGTCACAGGACGTACCAGATGCCCTCACCAAGTTTAATCTTGCGTACACCTACATGGTCACGACACGCAGGAGCTGCTGACACAGACTGAGTCGACTTTTGTTTACTTGCCTTTAAAGGTAGGACTTTAACATTCTGACTGTGCATAAAAAAAGGTTGGCAAATGGTACTTTTCTAAAAATATCGACATGGAGCGTCTAAAAACACCTTCTCAGCGTTCTATACCTGCTCTCGGCTGCATTTTGTTTGCTGCTAGATAGAAACATAACTGCAAGTACGACAGAGTCACGTAGACAGGTCTAAGATCAAGGCAAGCGGCATTCACTGCCTGTATTATTTCACCTATAAAAGTCTTGGATTAGACCTTCGTTACTACGCTAGTAACCTTGTTCTGGCGTTTGGTGGAGTAAGATTACAGTACAGTCTTCCCAAAATACACTGAGTGAAACAACTTAGGTCAAGTGTTTGAGGTACTCTGCAGTAGAACAGACACTGCCAGATTATTCTTACAGTTCTGCACTTTGAAAAGTTCCCTTATCTTAGGCAACACTCCCAACACAGACTATGATGAAAATTTCACTGAACTCAGAAGGACCAGTTGGGAGTCTGGGAGGGAAGCCACGTCTTGTGGTCCTTCATACAGCACTACCCTGAGAAAGTTTCGACAGCTACCCCAGCACAGTTCAAACCCGAGATGCTGACCAAGAGACTCTTTTCAGTTATGCATACTTCACAGATCTCAGGATCACATCCTCAAGGAGGCTAAGGGTAACTTCTTCACATTCTTGTAAACTCTTTCATGTCCCACTACAACCCAATTCACTTTCTTCAAGAAATCCCCATGCACCTGGTAGAATTTAAGCACATGAAATAGATCGATAAACTAATGGTTGGGAAACAAGGAACCTGTGATAGAGAACAAGGTGGCAACACTGCCCACAGAAATACTTCTACATATCTAGTTGCTGAAAAAGTCAATGACATCAATTGATCTCTCAGCTGTGTAGACACCCTCTGTGACACAGTGTACCTTATGAAAATATCACTCATTCAATACAAGAATTCAAGTGTCTGCATAACTAGAATACAGGAAAAATACTTTAAGGGGAAAAAAATGAAACTGTAATTCTGTAGTGCACAGTAGAGTGAAATTGTGCAATTACATTCCAAAAGGCGTGTCTCGGAACTGACTTGTTCAATACATAGAACTCTACATTTTCTTCCATTTCTAATACCAGATTTTTAAGAACACGCATACCATGCTCAGTTGATTAAAACAAGAAAAAAGCCTCTCAAATTTGGCATTTTTTTTCTCCCATGTTTCACATTCAGTTAGACTGATGGTGATTTAATAGTAGCTTCCTCCATCTTCACCTTTGCAGCAGCTTCATCTTTTCACCTTCCCTCTTCTCTTCACAACAAACGTGTCTGTGTTCTCCCTGAAGCTGGAGCAGGCATCATGGTATCCAGATCAAATGCTGCCGTAGTCCGAGCCACGGGCACCAAGAGCTGCCGCTGCTTCCCACTCCACTGTAAAGAAGGTCATTGTTCCAAAGAAGCCCACAACCACCATGATCAGCAGCTGCCACTGCAGAAGGAAGTAGTTGCTGTAGAAATACGCAACGGCAGCACAGATGGACTGAGAGAAAAACACAATATCAAAGATGATCAGCTGAGATATCCAGGCTAGTATTACTATACGAGAATTACCAAACTGACACACACACAGTTAATATGCAACTCTCAGTAGTGTGCTTCTGTAGAAGACATATAAACTTAAAACTTCGTTACACCTCAACATATGTCTTAATACGATACATAACAGATGTAGTTTTTACTTGTTATTTAAATAGTGTTCACTGCAGGAAGCGTTTGCGGCATTGCAAGTACAGTCCTCTGGTATTTGAAAACAGTTTGTCTAGAAACGACTCTGCCAAGGCTTTAAGACAAAATCCAGGAAACTATTTTGAGTTTTACAGCGTCACAAACTATCCTACGTCAAAATAGCTAGAGGCTTTGACAAGCAGTGGTGCTTACTTGCAATTTCTCATTTTTAAAGGTAAAATATTCACTACAGCTCGTATAAAGAATCTTTATACCTCATGCCTATCTCAAATTCTTACATATCACTGAGAATGATATACAAATGGAGCCGTGCACAAAGAAAAACAAGCATCTTTTTCAATCAAGCAGCTGTCATCTTTTAAACCTCGGCTCCCAGCAGCAGGTCGCTATTGGTGTGACCACACAGGAACAGTTTCAGTGCTTTGCACCACACTTTTCTGCTGACACCTCTGATCAACAGAGATCTTGGCCTGGCAAGTTCAGTACCACGTAAGACGAACGCCTGTGAGTGAAGTGCTCTATCCAAGACACAGCAGCTGTACTCATATCACATGAAGACTTTGCAGCGAGTCTCCACACAGCATAGATGCATTTATTTTGGCATTCTGACAACTTATGGACAGATAACCATTACTTAATTTTTCTTATGTCTGCGTACTCACCTGATAACTCCCAGTGATACAGTACAACATCCATAAACTCTTCAACTACTATTTAGACAACCTGTTTCCTTTTAACCCAACCCCTCTGTCAAAGACTTCATTGAGTCGATACATTCAGTAAATGATTATTTAAATAAAATCCAAGTCTGACTAACTGTACCAGCCCTTTGACTTTAAACTACAATTCCCAACACTTCTAACTTCCCTCAAAACTTGTCAGTAATAGCCCTCTGCTTATACAATCACACGGAGCTATACAATCAAGCTACTCCTACCTAAAAAACTTTTCTCTTCTGTGATAGATCAAAAAAAATAGCCTGAAATCCTTGGCAGAAACAACAATTGTTCTCAGCTCATTCAAAAACCGAGCCCAGTATTTCAGTAACATTCCAACCATCATACTTTCAAAAGGCTGTCTCATGTAATACCTGAACAAACTTAAAGATGGCAAAGGCAGGAGCACTGTCTTCTGAGTACAGGAATCCCAAAATGCTGAGGAGCTGGGTGTTGAAGCAGCTGTCCCCCAGGCCCAACAGAAAGCTGCAGAATATGGCCACCTCTTTGCTGAAGGAGAAAGTGAATCAAATTTAACAGCCATTCGTTCAAACAGCTTACATGGCTACAAATCAGTTTGGGCAGACTTATTTGGAAAGTGAGAATGGAAGAAAGTTATCAGACCTTATTGGAAAATAACTAGGAATGCCTGGCAAGAAGAATAGCTTTAGCAGATTTTAATTTCTTGAATGCTACGACTTCTGTTACTGTTACCTGCAGTCAATTCTACACTGAATTAGAACCGCTTGAAGAACTCGTCGTGGTGCTTGGAGCCACAAAACCCACCAGACAGTGATTAAAAGATGAGACACACATGGCAAGTTCATAAAAAAAATGCAGGAATACTAGGGAAATACCAATTCCTTTTGCAGAAAAATACTCCAGTTAAATATCGGATAGTCACCAGCATAGGCACAAACGCTTATAATTGCAAGTTAGCAGCTGTGCCTGCACAAACTGACAACCCTGTATTTTCACACAAATCGGCAAAAATACACCCCAAAAGAAAGTTGCAATGATGAGATAAAAGAGCTCCCCATATTCTTCCGCTAACGGCGGTGTAAGAGACAGGCACAGTTTAACATGAACCAAATTCCTGACATCCAGTACCATGGTCGCTGCTCTCACTGTTGTGCCAGACGCCAGGAATGTCAATTCTCAATGACAAGATTGGTACCAAATAGCCTCATGCTTTTTATTCTTATGCCATTTAAGCTCCTAAATTGCGTGCACTCTGGCAGAGTACCTACCTTTAATAAAAACAGAATTCCCAAAAGCTTTGCTATGGAGTCAGCGACAATACGGAAAAGCAGCTGCAAGGAGTTTTCTATTACAGGAACAAGCTCTTTACACACACCCCGAGTTACATCAGCCAAAGTTTACATACCTTGGAATCATATAAGCAACAGCATCCGTTCCTTCCAGAGGAGCAATAGGTGCATCGTTTGGCATGTTGAAAAAAATTAAGTAAAAGGCTACGAAATGGACAACGATGCCTAGCATCACAACAGGGTTCCTGCCAAAGCGACTCTTCTTACTCAGCAAACCGAAGATTCCTCCACCTGTATGAGCGGAAAAGATTGGATCATTAAATCAGAACTGAACACGTAAAGAACAGAACCAAATGTAAAATACTGGGGGGGCGGGAGGGGGAACAAACCAAAACTGAAAACTTCAGATTATAAACTTCCCCATCTTGGACAACTGGAAGATTGGCAGACATGAAAACAGTTCCCCAGAGCTCGCCATAACCTCTGGGTTGCTAGAGATGCCTGGAAAGGCAGGCAGCAGATTTCTCAGGTGGTGGCCGATGAAGGCGCTTAACCTTTCTGCAGGTATTTCCCCAGCAGCCACTGCCCCCTCCCGTACGGGCGGGGCCCCAAGGGAAGCTGGACGGCCTTGTGCTCAGCTCTTTTAATGACTAAAACATGCACCTCTCCACGGATCCAAGTCACCAGTGAACGAAGACAGTGGTGGGGTTTTGTGGGTTTTTTTGAGGGGTTGTTTGTGGGTTTTTGTTTTTTTTTTTTTTAAAAAACACTGCAGTACTTGAGTTTACTTAAAATTTACTTAATGAGCATTACCTGTATTCAATTTTATTCACATATCAGAACTCATTTAACACCAGCTAACTTTTTTAAAGAAAGAAATCTTCAGTGTAATATTTTTTAAATAAATTTAAAATAGTTACAACATCACTTAAGAAATAATAAACATGTAAACAGAGTAACAAAGTGCTGAAAATTCCCTAATAACGTCATAGCCTGGTGTTTCTCTCATTCCAAGCCTCAGGTATTTCTTTGCACTAACCCAAAAAGAATGCAAAATCTTAGGTTTCAAAGTGCTCTGTATTTCACATCCTAGTCCACATTTACAGGATGTAATGTATAATTCATAGTGCAATAAGGAACCATGTTGACAATTTCACTTCTAATATTTCATTTTTTGTTTACATAATCATTGCTGGAGGCTTGAAAGACACTATTCAGTTAATACAAAAAGCCATTTTGAGTACCTACATCTTCATCCTGTTTTGTCTGTAAGGTAAATTTAGACTCACCTAAAATTTCTCCAACACCAATAAAAATACCAGAGAGACCAATGAGGCTTTTCTCTTCGCCGCCAAACCTATTCACAGCACCAATACATGTTCCATATACTCCAGAAAAGAACGTTAATTCCAAACCTTTGAAAGAAACCAAACAAAACCGATAGATGAACTATTATAAAAGTTATTAAAAAATCTTTTATATCTAAAGGCTGTTTTTCCCTAAAGTACCTTTCAGATACATATATTTAAATGAGGTATGTGTAATAGAAGCAATTACGGAATTTTAGACTATGTAATTATGACTCTCCTATGCCAGTTTACACAAACTGTTAGAAAAAACTCACTAATGAGTGTCGCTGGCACTTAGGTTCAGTACCACTTCTGTTGACACAGTCTCTACATACAGTTTACACTTCTGCTTTTCCAGCATTTTGGAATTTCCCATGTAAGGGCCTTTCCCCCCTCCACAAGTCATGGCTTTCCTAAGAAAGATTCCCTGCACCCCCAAATACCAGAAGAGCTTCTTAACACAGACTGCTACTTTTCTATACACACTGAACTAAAACAGACAGAACAACTGCTACATGTTTAAAATTCTTTTTTCTTTCTACTGGCACTACTGCGAGGAAAGGTAACACAGCCAAGTCCAACCAGCATGACTATCAGCAACCACCAGTGTAAAAATACTAGTTCCTTAATAGAAAGGATATTTAAAACAATGCAAAGTGTTACGCCTAAACAAGAGAAACAGTTTGAACCCAGAGCTGTTTCTAATTTGCCTCCTTTGCCTTTTGCTACTGCAAAAATACGGCACCCCATATCCTGGTCTCCACACAGCAGGCGACCTCACATGGTATGGGAGCTGCACAGCCTCGACAAGGGGGGAACTTCCAGCAGTCCTCACGATCCGACCATCGATTGTAGAAACACAAGCTGGCTCTGGGTGGCCTCAGGGGACCCTGTGCCGCCCCACCTGCAGTGCCACCATGGACAGGAGCCACCCGATGGCAGCAGCTCTTCTCTCCCACGCTGGACTGATTTTTTTCCTGCTACCAGCGAGATCAAATTTCAGATTCATCATGAAAACCTGATGAACTCCCTTCCCTTGTTATCTTGCTGCACGTTCCCCTTGCTCTAAACATTTCATAGGAATTCAAGTTAGTTAATTGGGGTTAACACAACACGGGAGATGCTGTGAAGTAACTTGAAACTCAGACTAGTGGCTGGTGCAAGCTGACTTTGTAGCTGCTATGCTATTTCGCTACCAGAAGCTGACTGCAAACTCCAGCAGATGTTAGGGCACTGTTTATATTTTGTTCATGTCTAAGTCTTTCTTTTCACCTACAACAGTTAGAAACAATTTTTCATAACGGTGACTCAGAGCTGAGGTTCTCAGAAGGCATCTATTCTTCCTAAAACTGAATTTGATCACGAACAGAACTACACCTGAAGTCAAATAAGGAGTAAAAAACACCCCCAAAATCCATTAAAGGATTCCAGTAACATTTTATAGTATTTTTGTGGAAGAATCATTTTAGCATATGGCAAAAATAAACGTATCTTAATGTTACAACTCATACCCTGGTCTAGCAATGGCAGACCAGGTTTAACTACAGTGGCTAAAAAGAAAGAGAGCTCTTGCCACAGCAAATACTAGTGACAAAAATAGCTGAAAACGGCTAGACTTTTTCCTAGTAGAACCAAAACTAAAATGCAGACTGTTAGTAAGCTCCCACGCCTCAGTGGAGGGGACACTGAAAGTGTACTCTACAAAAATAATTTTTATTCATATGCAATGCAGTTGCGTTAAACAGCCTACAGCCGATTGGTAGTATAATGCCAAATCACACAAAAACCTGCTCTGTAAACTTTGCTTAACCCTCCCTTTGGGTGACCCAGAACTGTACTTTACCAAGCATGACTACATCTATCAGCATTTGCACATTTATGCGCAGCCCTCCTCCCATACAGAAACATTTCCCAGAACAAAAAAACATCTCAAGTAACTCATTCAAAGTCAACTGAACTATTCAAGTAATGTCTGGAGAGAGATGGAATCGCACTCCTGCCCCAGGGCTGACATTCCAAACAGTGCCCGACACTGCCACATGATTACACACTCCGCGTGCTCCATACCTGTGTAGGCTGTTGTAACGCTGAGCAGCAGAATCTCCTTGGTGAAGCTCAGCTTTATAGATTTCTCTGTAAAGACACAATAACGGAAATTAATATAACTGATTACGCTATTAAGACAATCTACACTTTCTTTTGCTCTTTGCAAAAATAGGTCAAAATTATGCAGACTGTGACTTTATCACAGTAAACAGAGCACTAAACAAACCAACTGTGACTTGCCCTTTGAAAGAAACGCTGTTACCTAAAATCCTTTTTTGTAGGAAGTGCGAGGGGAGAAATATTAAAAAGGGGATACACAGTTTTCAATCAGCAGAGAGTTTTCTGCTCACTGTACTTTTGTACTCCCTCTCAGTTCATGGCGATTGTCTCCTAAAAGTAGAAATAAATTCTCAGTGAAGATCCCCACATTCTCAAAACAAACTTAACAGTCACAGGCAGACCACAGCAAACTTCAGCGGCAACTGCAGATGCTCCAGTTGAAAGCTGTTGGTTTTAACCGGTATAATTTGGTGACAAAATAAAACATCATCTAACTTCTTGTTTATCTTGTTATGTTAGTGAATTTAAAAAAAAAAAACAGAACAAAACCAAATCATCCCGGCTTTCATGCACTAGCTTTCCCAAGCGGTCCCCTGTTCTTTTTGGGCTCATCTGTATAAGGAAGCTGTTGTAAAGTAGGTTGGATCTGAAACTACATCAAGGCAGCACCCCTCCAAATTTCTCCTGGGCTATACTAGTATGTAACTGAAGTCTACTTCACTTTCGTTGCTTGCAGTCAAGCTTTGCATGGTATTGTCACCTGAAAGGAGCACTTCTGAAGTGTCGACAGCCAGCTCACGCCACTCTCACATCAACAGTAGTTTGCCCACATGTTAGTTCCGTGGTCCCCACGCTTCTCCGGACGCGAGCCCCATTCTGGCTAGGCTCAAAATCGCACACACTGATGTAGACAACCGAAATCCTAGCAGGCTCAAAACTCATCAGCCCTGTGTCCCTGTATGAACTGTCATCTCTGGTCTGAAAACCACTGCCATCTGGCTGTCATTTTTCCAAGCAGGCCATCCCTGAAGTCTATGTTTGAAGTGCAGTAACTGAAATGCATTCTTAAAACCTTATTTGCTCACAAAATTTTGTTCCAAGTGATCTGTACGTGATCACATTACCAGCAGAATTATGGAGAGCTGGGAAGGGTTCATCAGTATGTTTTGAAACAACTCTTACATTAAACAGTACTTACTGAAGGCAGCCACTGCTCTCGTCATTTTGGTTTGTGCAGACCTGCATAAAAAAATGACTTCATCAAAACAGAAAAAGAATAACCACACTGTATAGCTCTGGTCGAAGGCAGCTTAATTTTTCTTATTTTTGGTACATTTTCTATCCCAGCACTATATACTGGAATATACTAGTATATTATTAAAAGTTTCTGAGAATCTAAACCACCAAACACAAAATTTCTTTGCTTTCCGTGCCAGTGAATGCCATTCAAAAAATAACCTGCTTAACAGAATCTTTCTTCCAAGCATTTTTAGCTTTGATTATTTTTTCACTCGCATACTTGCTGACGTTTTTCTAATATTTTTATTGTTCTTTGGATGTAGCAAAAATATTTAAACTGATGCCTCATTCAAAACTGTACTGAACGTATGTGTCTGTGTACCTATGCATTTCTAACATATTTATCAGGGTTGGCATATATTTAGAGGAGATACGAAAAACATGTTTCAGTATGTAAAAGGTAACCTATAAAAGGGAGTAATTTCTGCTATTCCAGCCTTGAAACTGGGCTGATGAGGGCAAGACAGACTATGAAAGGCAGATCAGTGTTCAATAACGATCGGTGGAGAAAAGAGGTAACAGGTGTCTTTCCAAAGGCACTTGCTTATTAATGGGAAAACTTAATGTGCAGTACCACACTCCACCCTTCAAAACATGTCATATAAAGAACATTAATTCTCACTTGTTAAAGTACAGACACTTTCCTTTCAAGTCTGTAAATTCTACAGGTTGTTTGTAACATTTATGTTTCCCGTGCAGAGGGGAAGCGAATGCACCATGTTCCACTGAGGAGCAGGAGCACAAACGAGTCTATGTGACAACACGTCACTGCCGTAAGCACTTACGAGCTGTCCCGCAGGATTTCATTAGCAGAATCTTCCTCCCCTGGAGCTTTTGTGTCCTCTTGTTTCCTAATCAGAAAGAACAGAACTGTGCCCACAAGACTGATAACAGTCAGAGCAATGAAGACAGTTCTGCGATCACTCTCTGTGGAAAAACAAAGAAGAGTCATAACTAGATGTGCAAAAGCAACTCAAACAGTTCAACTACCTTCAAAGAACTAATATAGACATACTACATAACAGTGTTTAAAATGCATACTAATTTTCTAACTTACCTTCCACTTGGAGTAAGAGGTACCCAGCTGCTGGCAAATTCCTGTCTCAGTTTTATGACGCCAATAAAATATTGGCATATTAAAGAGTGTCACTCACATTTTCTGCCATGCAAAGGCTATGACCAAGGAGGAGCCAATTAACAAAGGAAGTGCATAAATTATTAGCAGAAGAAAGAACATCTTTCAAGACTTACATAATTCAGAGTGGACATAGCAAAGTACCCCAAAACCCTTCAGATTTCTAACAAACCTCTTCACCAGCATCAGAAATATTAGCACTGTATCATCAGCTGGTACGCTTGTAAACTACAGAGGCCTCAAACCCACTGAAACCTCACTGTCGCAGCACACACTGAGCAGCTGGAGGGAGGTGACTGCTGCCCTACAGACGAGTTGTGCTGCACTAACCAACCTGTCCGGCACAGGAAAGTCTGTAACACAGAAGTCATTCCCATTTATAAATATTAATGAGAAAATAAAAAGGCCAAGAAACAGCTAATAGTTGCTTTCAACATGTGTGTGATTCTGAAGGTATCGCCTATGTTTGTGTTTTCTTCCCCTTTAGCTTAAGGGTAAATATAAAATTGTTCTACATCAATTAAAAATAACAGGTATGATTACAGCTCAACAGGAGAATATGTGCTTCACTTTGAAATGCCTGTAAACTTTTCATTTAGGTAGTAAACAGAAAGAAGATCTGACAGTGTTTAAAAATCACTTCCTCTGATACCAACATTTTTTAATAAAGACGAGTCTCGAGACATTTGAAGACGGGGGAACGTAACAGTACAACTCCCTCATAGTTAATTGCTCTATTTTGTGGTTAGAAAGAGCAATGAAATTTAGAATGCACAGAATTTCAGGCCCACCAGATCCAAAGTGCCTCCAACACTCCCAATAACATTTAAGCCTTTGTGTTAAAGATGAGGCAACGTGGGAGCCGACCTTTAAAAATTAACCTGTGCTGTGCTACCTAGCTCACGTCTGGGGAAACATGGAAAGACAGATCTAAGAGAGATGTGAAGCGGACTGTTCATCTCAACAGGGCAGTATTTCTGAAGCCTGATAATTATCATTTAAAAGTCAACATCTTATTCCTGACTGACTGCAGCAGAAGTACCCTCATCTTCTAAACGTTAAAATAATTGACCATTCTAGTACGTATTTTACTTTAACACTACAATAAAGAAAACTCTCACCATCATTATAAAACAGAACAATCGACCCTATGTACTTACAAAATGTTGGGTTTCCAGCAATACTCGGGTTTTGTAAAGTCTTGCATTTTGCTTTATTTTCACCACTGTCGTTTTCTTAGCCGACACCCCCCCACCTTGCCTTACTTGCTTAAGTAGAAATCTCTACTTTAAAACCAATGAGTATCAACCACTATCCAGCTTCTTAAGAATATTAAGTTTGCTGTTCTCTCTCCTGATCTTTACCAGTCTAGCACAATATCAAACAAACAAAAAAAAACCTATAATATTAATTACAATCCCATTAGGAAGTTAGTCTTCATAAACTATGCCAAGAGAGGAATATCGAGCTCTTGACACGCTCT